ATATATATATATATATACACACACATATATATATTCCTATACACATTTATATACATACAGTATATATAAAGCAAAAATGTCAAGCACAACCAAAAACATGCCAATTACTAAAAATATGTTTGTTTTTTATGAGGCCGCCTTTATGTTAAAGAAAAGTCGAGCCCCCTGGCACCCTCTGTCTCCCAGATAGTCAATAAATAATTCACACACTGGTTAAAGCTGAATTTATTGTAGTAGAAAAACAATCCAGAAAGAAGAGCTTATTAAAGAAAGTGCCATGTGTTGTAAACAATGATGACATTTGTGCCCTATATTTAACACATCACACCTGAGATACACCCAGGTGGAGCAGGGGCATCTACGTAGGTACCTAGGGAGCATTTCGGAGTTTGTTGTCTTGCTCATGGACACCATAACATGTGGGCATGGCAGGAAGTTGAGCCTGGGACTTTCTAGTCCCAGGTCGGCTTCCCTACACCACATCTGCCCCATTAAAAGATGCAGAGCAAACTTTCCGACACTGCATGTGCAGAATAAAAAAGTAATGCTCAGCCTGAGATAAAGTGATGATTGTGTGAGGAAATCTGTCAGTTAATGGAAGGTAGTCATGACAGAGATCTGGCATAAAAAGATGAGGTGACTTTTGTTTCTCCACCTGCAGCTTAATGTCAGACACAGCCACTGCAATGAGGGCGTTTCCAGTCTAGCTGCACCTTGTCAGGTGCAGAAGCTGCAAAGGAACCGCCCTCTAATGACAGACACGTGCGTGTTTGTGTGAGTCTGTCCCACTCTGTCCTCACTCCAACTACCTCCATGTCCACTCTGACTGGACGAACTCGCATGGTTGTTTGAACAAAAGTGTTTTACGTCTTTCCTGACACAACCCTCACCATTTACCTGGGCTTGGGACCGGCACCAGAGATACACCCACTTGTGTTCCCTAGTGGCTGGGTTAAACACATGATTTGAATGTGTGTATGAGGTTTTTTTTTTTTTAATAAAAATGTATATACAAAAGTTTTTTTTCTCTTTTTTCTTAATAAAAATATATATTTTTTTCTCTTTTTTAATAAAAATGTATATACAAAAGTAATTTTTTTAATATAAAAATGATATATACAAAAGTTTTTTTTAAATAAATATGATATATACAATTTTTTTTTAAATAAAAATGCATTTACAAAAGTTTAAATAAATAAAAATAGTTTGTTTTTCTAATATAAGGAGTCACAATCTTGAGCTCAGCAAATGGGGGATAATTTATATTCGCAGCTTGCTGAGCAGATCTGAGAGATCCGATACAGACGTAGGAGCTTGACAGCCTCTCTGTTCTGTTACACCCCTTCTCTCGATTTCTGGCTGTGGGTGAATGTTTCTCGTCCCTTGGGGTGTCTGTCCGAGCTGAGAGGCATTCCTGAGCCTAACACTGCAGTTTCCTGAACGGGCTGGGAGGCTGTCCGTTTGACGGGTTGGCTGCAGTCTTTGGGGATGGTGAGAAACCTTTTTTTACTGAATTTCCACATCCATCACCACAACCCTGAGGATTGTAAGATGGATATTGGCCTCTCTGCTGGGGAGAGTTTCTGTACCGAACTCTCTGCTCCTGTTGGTGGTAGGAACTGTGGGAATGTCTCTGAGTTTCATGATTGACATCATGATACCTTGGATGCCACCACAGATTTGAACCCCAGTTTCTCTGTTCACGGCATTGCAGCACATTCCTGACATTTATGCTTGAATCCTGGTTCCTTGGGTTTTGCACAGTTGAATCAGTTGCCCTGGTGTTAATATCCATGTAGGAAAACTTCTTTGACCATGTTTGTTCGCGAAGTTCCCATACACCTCTTGGATAACGATGTTGCAACGAAGGCCGATTCCTAGGAGGGGGACGAGTAATTACTGTCCTGCTGGCGGTTTGGTCAGTAATTTCATTTTGTTGTTCTTTAATTTCCTCCTCAAACCCAGAAACTTTCCGAAAACGAGCCAGGACTTGGAATCGCTGCTCCTTGCGCCGTGCCCACAAACCAGACGAGTCTTCTGTTGAAGCAAAGGAATTATGTTTTTGCTAAACACGTTCTGTGTTTCTGTTGTGAAACATAAATCCTGATCTTTCCTCCCTGTTTCACACTCTTTCTGTGTCTGCTTGAAACTATCTCCTCTGAAACGTGCCAGGGTATTGAATCTGTGATGTTTGCGCTCTGCCCAAAGACCAGCAGAATCAATCCGGGACACTGAATCACGGGTGGGGGCAACATTTGAGCTGCCCAAGGTGAAGCAGACCGGTGCAGAAGAGATGGAGTATTTCCAACTCGTGCTGGAATCGCTCTTTGTCTTGAGCTTATCTGATTCCAGCAGATCTGTGATTCCTCTGAAGTGGGCCAACCACTGATGTCTGCGGTTTTTACGAAGGACCCACGGATCAGGAGAATCTTTAGCACAAAGGAATCTATGAGTTTTGAACCAGATGGAAAACTTTCCTTTGCACTTAGAATTTTGTTTCAGGCTCTGGGTTCTAAACCAGCCTGATTTCAAGATGTTGTTTTTACTCTGAGATGGTATTTTCAAAGTTAAACTTTGTGAATCCATGTTAGCTATGTAGCTACCTTTTTGAAAACAAACTGAATCGCCTGTGAGATAAGTACTAACTGTACGCCAAAATGTTCGCTTAAGAACTGTTCTGAAAAGTTTTGAACAGCTACTTTTATAAACTATGTGATGGCATCAAGCCGTGATGTCACAAAGCCGTGATGTCACAAAGCCATGATGGAATCAAGCCATGATGGAATCAAGCCATGATGGAATCAAAGCCATGATGGAATCAAAGCCATGATGGAATCAAAGCCATGATGGAATCAAAGCCATGATGGAATCAAAGCTATGATGGAATCAAAGCCATGATGGAATCAAAGCCATGATGGAATCAAAGCCATGATGGAATCAAAGCTATGATGGAATCAAAGCCATGATGCAAAGCCATGATGGAATCAAAGCCATGATGGAATCAAAGCCATGATGGAATCAAAGCCATGATGGAATCAAAGCTATGATGGAATCAAAGTCATGATGGAATCAAAGCCATGATGTCACAATGGAATTTACAGCCTTTGAATTTTCTTAGCAAAAGCAATGACTCCTGTTAGAAGGGGAGGAGCCTAATTATGGAGACAATATTGTTGCCTGGCAACAGCTGTAAATTAGGCTCCACCCTGCTTTGGATTCATGGAAATTTGATTGTCATTGATGAGTATGAGATGAAACTTTGTAACTCAGGTTAAAGTTTAGCCCAGCAACAGACCATAATAGTGTGATAACATTAATAATAATTTAAATAACAGTAATAGTAGAATAAATAATTAGCATTGAAATAAGGAGTAGTAACAAAATCCTTAGCCCTGCTTCAGATCTCCATCAGAATAGGATGTTAAGTGCACTAAAAATATGTTAACACTTGTCTGCATAACACAGCTAAGACTAACACACTGTGCACAGACTACATTCATCTTTTACTCTGATTGTGATCCGTGTTGGGGTTAGCATAACTCACACAGTGCTTAAAGCTGAAAAATAACAGCAAATAAAACCAACCAGAAAGGAGATTTTATTAAAAGCTGCAAAGTGATGATTGTGTGAGGAAATCTGTCAGTAAATGGAAGGTAGTCATGACAGAGCTCTGGCATAAAAATTTGAGGTAACTTTTGTTTCTCCACCTGCAGCTTAATGGCAGACACAGCTGCTGCAATGAGGGCGTTTCCAGTCCAGCTGCACCTGAAGCTGCAAAGGAACCGCCCTCTAATGACAGACACGTGCATGTTTGTGTGAGTCTGTCCCACTCTGTCCTCACTCCAACCATAGATATGGTTCAGACTCCAAACTTTTGTTTTTCTGGTCAACGCCATCACTTATTTTCTGTAATTCCAGGTTGATTATCTGTTAAATCAAGAAATTAAACAATCTTTTTCTTTTTCATACGATGATGCGGGATTTGTTAAATGTAAGATGCTATATGTTGACAGAGTGAATTATGTTCAGCAAATCCCTAAAGCTGTAACTGTATTAAAAACAAAAACAGCAAGTGTGGTGCATAATGTGATTTTCAAAAAAAAAAAAAAAGCAAGAGTCCATTTTGTTTAAGTTTAAAGTGTTTATTAAAGGAAATGGTGCACAAACAAAGACTGAACAAAACCTATACTTGTGAAATTATTCAACTTTGTGTTGAAAGTAAAGGACAGGTTATAGCAATTAAATCATTTATATGATCTTGTATCCAAATGTATAGATATACATTTAAATTCAACAACAGAGGAGTCCAGCTGTTTTTGCTCCAGTATAACATTCATTAGTCAGAAAGTCAAAACCCTTTAAAATTTAGCCAGAATTGTTAAAACAGAAGAATTCATAAAGTAGATTTAATGCAAGTAAAGAGCATATCTGTAACAAGATATAAAACTGGGATGATATAAAAATGACAAACATCTAACTGCATAAAAAATGTTGCTCATTCCAATAACATATTTCAGTAATCATCAAAAATATATTACCCAATTAACAGCTGCAGAAATAGAATATGCAAACAAAATGATGAGCATGTTTTAGTGCATATCCCTAATCTATTAAATTACCGTTCTTTCATGGAAAACAACTTTAAATGTGGATAGAAATTACTGAGTTACTTACAAGGCACTGTCTACCTACCAGTAACCATGAGCATCCCTGACTCTCATACCCTTAAAGCTGTTGGTGCAAAGACGTAAGCTCTGTTTGGGCTACAACACAGCAAACAGAAAAGACTAAAAATCAGTTTGTTCATTTAAGATTTCTGCACAAGATCAATGCAACAATAACCAAAATGGGCAGATTAAAGTATCTGACAGGTGACGCAACAGTGAAAACACATGGAGCATGAGCTTAAAAACATGCCGAGGTGATGAACTCGGCTCAGCCAAAAAGGCCACAAATATCTGATAAACCAAGCTGCACCAAGCTGAAAGACCTGCAATGTTGACTAAAAACACCTCGTTATTCAAATAATGCCTGTAATTTCAAGATGTATGGCATGTGAATACATAGAGGTACGTTTTATTTTGTGCATTTTGCAAGCCTCACAAAACAGTGCTTAAGCCTTTGATAGTAAAAATGTCAGAATACAGACAGTAGAATACCACAAGATAAAGAATATAGAAATTAAACAACATCTTAGTTTAATATACAGATACTGTAACAAAGCTCAGCCATGGCCAGTTGTACATTTTAAATATTTCTTCAATTTCCTGTTAAGAGTTCAAAACAAAACGCTCTGTATTTAAAAAAGACTAATTATTATAAATCTAATGAGAATACATTAAACATTTGTTTTAAAGACACTGTGCAACAAATAATTCAAGTATAGATTATAACCAATGTTTATTTTAATCTGGACATCTGAACTTAACAGATGAGTACCAAAATCTCAAATTATTAACAGTACCATTAAGAGTATATATTTTTTAAGTTGACATTAAAATTTTTACTAAATCTGGTCATAAATAAAAAGATCTGAGATTTCTGAATGCCCTTAGGAAGAACTTAATCCTCTAAGAGACAAATAGATAATGGATCTTTCTTAAAAAAAAAAAAAAATCCTTAATCTCATCTTTAAATCAACAAGAACAAGGTTCCTTTTGCAGGTTATTAAAAAAATAATGTTTAAAAAGTCAGGACATTTTTCTCCCTCTTACAGGTGGAATGTTTTATATGTAAAAGTGTTTTGATCTCAAATAAACTTTAAAGCAGCACTGAGCTATTTTTTGGCCACCAGCTTGTAGAAATAATCTAATACAAACTTGTATTTACAAAGTTTAGATTTATTTTTATTTTTTTAGTTATGGCTCATAATTAGAAAATTCATTGGCAACTCTTAACACAAACAAACATCAGTTTAAAGCCAAATATCCACCTACTTCAAGAATAAATGTTCCATAACAACTGGGCTCTCAAGTCAGATTTGGTCCACTTCTTTTTTTCTTGGTGCCCCCGTGCGAGGCAGTACACTTATTCTTGAGCAAAACATTTTAGCTCATATCAAGAAATGGCTTTAAAAATATTTATGCACCAAAATGACATGTGCAATCAGCTTAATAAACATCAAAGTTGCATTTCATGGATAAACTTTTTATAGTATTTATATAATTTTAAAAAATTTACTTAGAGTTCTAGTCATATTTTAAAACAACGCCAACCCTCTGCTCTCACAGTCTTTTGGCACATTATATTCACAGAGCACTCAGCAGCATCAAAAGGAACCAGCAGGTACAGAAATGTGCAACAGAACCTTTAACAGACATCTGAGTGCTGTGGGAACATTAACATTTTATAGCCAGCTAAATGCCACATGTATCATCTGAAAGCAGCAGCAAGTTAAGAGAAAAAAAAAAGCCAAACCCAATAAAAACATGTCTACCGTAGTCATTGGCTGTGCATCCTGTGAAGAATATAAAATACAATATACCTAATCTTTCCATTTTCTGGAGGACGGGTAATATTTAGGTCCACATATGGGTGCTCTGAAATGTTTTTTGCAGGCTAATACCTGTAAATAAAATAAGAGCAGAGTGAGTTTAAAATAATCCAGTAGTTTTAATAAAGATTTTTTGTTTATTTTTTAGCAATATGAAATATATAAGAAGGGTGTGTACCTGTAGTAGTTTGGTTTAAACGGACCGTTCTTGTTCAGACCCAAATACTTCGCCTGCTCATCCGTCAGCTCCGTCAGGTGGCCGTCAAAAGTGGCCAAGTGCAAACTGGCAACATACTCATCTAAAAGACCGTTTCAAATAAAAGAGCATATGCATAAATAAAACTTATAAGAAATTAACTTGTTTCTGTAATCAGCTAGCAGAAGTAAAATCACTTCATTTCCATCCATCCATCCATTTTCTTTACCCGTTTATTCCATTTTGGGTCACGGGGGTCGCTGGTGCCCATGTCCAGCAATAACTGTGCGAGGGGCAGGGTACACCCTGGACAGGTCGCAAGTCCATCACAGGGCCACATAGAGACAAACGAGACAAACAACCATTTACTCTCTCACTCACACCTAGGGACAATTTAGAGTTACCAATCAGCCTAACATGCATGTTTTTGGTCTGTGGGAGGAAACCGGAGTACCCGGAGAAAACCCACGCATGCACGGAGAGAACATGCAAACTCCACCCAGAAGGCCCCTGGACCAGGGTTTGAACCAGGGACCTGTTCGCTGAGAGGCAGCAGCTCTACCAGTTGCGCCATCGTGCTGCCCACTTCATTTCCATTTAATCCTAAAAACTCAAAACTTACTAGCAAAGCAGACAAATGAGAAAACATTTAAAACATGTAAAACAAATAAATAAATGCTGTTAAGTGTTCATATCCTCACCCATTTTTTTGGGAAGCAAGTAAACATCCTGTTTGTAACGTCCCTCAGGGGCGTTGTACAACTCTATCAGGGCCAGAGCCTTGAAAAAAAATATTTATGACATGACACTGTTATAGAAGAAAATAATAAAAGCCTGCAAACAGAGTTAAGAGTTTAGCTACAAGTGATCCGCATACTCTGACATTTCCAGGTCAGATCAAGAGCTTAGATGTCAGAACGAGCACATAACTGCAGGAAATAAAAGAGTGAGGAGAGCAGTTAATCCTACAAGCACCTGTCTGGGCACTAATTCTAGTCATACATATTTTGTGCTCGTAAATCAGTCTGCATATGTTGTGAATGAAGTTTTGTAACCTTGAAAAATAAAATGGCTGAGGATTTCTGCTTTGAGCAGGTGTAAATAGGAATGTCTGTGTGAAAACAATTAGTATTTGTAAAAATAATTATACAAGTTACACTTTTTTTGGTTAAGGTCTTTTAACAGATACAAAAAATTATGTGTAAAATTCTGCATTCAAGTTCCATAACTTGCGTGAGAGTTTCAACTTGCAAGTATGAATTATGACCTGATTATTCCTCTCAGCTGATTGGTCAATGTCATGTCAATCACAAATTTAACAATCCAGTCAGAGAGCAGATGGGTTTGGCTGTCGGGGTGGCGCTTTACTGAGCTGCAGGTCCTGGAAGAGTGGTACATTTTAAAAATGGGAGGATGACGTCAGCATTTCTGTGGCTCAGGTAGGCATTACTTTATGGTTTAGTGGAACAAAAACAATATCGATGCTCAGATCTATATTTTTGAAAATCATGTTCAGTAGCGCAACTACACCTGCTGACTCCAATAACCCACAGAAGTAAATGTTTGGCTTCATACCTGAGTGGTGGCTGTGATGGACAGAACAAAGGTAGGAACAGTGGAGCAGCTGAGGTTCAGCAGACGGCCCTGTGGAACGAGTCAAGATGAGATCAGGAGCCAAAGTCCAGACAGAACTCTTAAACAGTTCGATGATTTTCATGAGATACTGCTCTAACTAACCGCTTCATATGGCAAAAATTATTGGTGTGTCAATAAAGTAGTTTCTCATTTATTGCTGGGGATCCATACCCTGAAGACACACGATAAGTGAAAAACTGCGAAGTAGGAATAGTAGTACTAGTAGTAAGTAGTAGTTTATTTTATTATTTATATAGATATATATTAAGGCGTTTTAAAGCCTTCCCATACTTTTGCAATATTCTAAATAATGGTTCTAAACTCTAAACGCTCTAAAAGAGCATGATTTCAGCTCCTTTCCTCCTCTGCTCTTTGACACCTGCAAGTGCTCTTAGCCACGCCCACTTCTCCACTCTGCATGCTCAACAGCTGATCAGCTGTTCACCTGCAGCAGGAAGTTTATCCTGCAGCAGTAAGGGCTGCACAAAGCTGCAGGAGGAAGTATTTTTCTGCTGCTCTGCACAAATGTGCAGCAGGTGCTAAATCATTTAAAAATAATTAATGTTAAATAAAAATGTCATGCCGATCGTGCGGCTCATCCATCAATCAGCCAATTGTGTGCCATGTCCAGTCTTATTTTGAAAAACCGCGATAGAGTGAATCCGCGGCAAACGAACCGCAAAGTAGCGAGGGACTACTGTATGTCTAAGAAAGTGAAAGTTACTTTCCAATAAAATTTTGTTAAACAAAAATGATCGGTCAGTGGATGCAGAGAGCCGACCAGAACCGAACCAGAACTACTTCCAGCCTCATCGGTCAATCTGAGAGCTGCTTGCCAGCCCATGAGGCCTCTCGATCTGGGAGGCGTTGCTTGGAGGTCCGGTGTCTTATCCGGAGTGCACCCACACTTTTTCGTCCAGATTTCTCTGGATTATTTGGACTCATTCTGGACCATTGTGTGGTTTTGTGATGGCTCTCCAAAGGTCTGGCTCTGTCTAAAAGCGTCTGGTGCTCAATGGCTGCAGAAAGCCGATCAGAACCGGATCAGAATAGGACCAAGGCTGGTGAGTACAAATATCAAATTTTGCAGTAGTTGTTAAAATTACATAGGTTTGAGTTTAGAACATTGCATGAGTGTGGGAAGGGTTTATAAAGCCTTAAAATGTATAAATAATAAAATATAGCATTTGTACTTCACAGTTTTTCACTTATTGCGAGGGTGTCCGGAACGTAACCACCGCGATAATCAAGGGATTACTGTATCTGTATTTATTGCATGTGAGTGAGAAGCTCGTAGATATAGCTGCTGACCTCTGCCAGCAGGACAACTCTCTTCCCATCAGGCCAGATGACATGGTCCACCTGAGATCGGACTCTCTCCCATGTCAGCTCAGGCGTCCGAAGGCTCGCCTAGAAGAGTCGAGAAGAATTAGCCTCGTTCTAACACAGTGGTTAGAAATATGTTAACCAAAATTTGATTAGTTTACCACATCGATCTCGGTGTTGGAGTGTCCCATGTTGCAGACCATAGAACCATTTTTCATTCGATCCAGCTGCTCTCTGGTCACCACGTTTTTATTCCCTACAAAAAGACAAAAAGACAGATTTTTTTTAAAGTTTTCTATCTTTTACCAAACGACATAAAAAAACAAACCACACGGAGCAGAAGTGCTCCAAGATGTGATTTCATGTCGGTGTACCCAGGCGAGTACACCAGTACCACTTTAGGTCTGGTTACCAGTGCACGTGATGATAACGTCGACGTGGCGAATGACCTCGCTCAACTTCACCACCCTGAATCCATCCATGCTGGTAAACAAAGAGATGAAATTCAGCTCATCTAGTTTGAACTATATTTTATGAAAGGGTGAGCTTAAGTTGAAGGCTATCGGTCAAACTTTGTCTGTTATTCAACATCAAAATTAATTTTTGGACGGCTCAAGTGTGTGTGTGTTTGTGATTCATGATGCCGTCTTCCATGTTCATAAATATGACGTCGGCACATTCAGGATATAAATCATGCATCATGTCCTCACCAGGCCTGCAGGGCGCAGATGGGATCGATCTCAGTGACATAGACGATGGCTCCCAAAGCTTTCAGAGCTGCAGAACAACCTTTTCCAACCTGAAAGAAAACAATAACGCACACAAGAAAGATTAAAATATATTTAAACACTGCAATAAAAACCCTTCATCACTAAATAGTGAACCTATCTAGCCAATTATTTCAAGGCCCAATGAATTTTTTCGTTATTATTTAGCTCAATAATGAGACAAAGATATGATCAGTTATCTGTATGAATGTTGTTAAAGCTCTGAGCAGCCTTTAATCAACATGAATGCAACCCTTTGACTACAGGAGCTTTTTTAATTGTTTCTTAATGCCAATAGTTTGGAATTAAAAAAATTAAAAGTTCTGTGGCATGTCTGATTTATTTTATACAAAATAAAACAATTGAAAGAACATTCTAGAAGAGTGGTGATCCCATACTTTCTGTCAGTGGTTGCATCTCGAGAACATCATGATTAAAATTAATGGTGCTTGTTGTCACATCATCTCTCACCTCACCATAACCACAGACCACCACCTGTTTGCCTCCAAACATCACATCTGTGGTTCTCTTCAAGCTGGACAGATTTAAGACAAAAAAAAAAAAAATCAGCGCAATTAGTGGAAGTGGTAAAAAAAATATCTCTCTTTGTTTGAAAGGTGAAACATCCCATTAAATTATTGATGAAATAAAACTAAATCTAAAGAAATAGCTGTTTACAGTGACATTTTTGTTGTATTTTCTATTTTTTAAAAGGCAGATGCATAAAATTATCAGTCTCGAGGTATAATAATGAAGACTTTTACTGCAGTTATGTCACACAGGAGACAATCTCCAGGATAGAAGTTTACTTTGATGATTATTAATCATTCCTCACTTGCTCTCGTGCAAGCCGGACACATTTTATTCTGTCTCCCGCCCTCCTCCTGCTATTTTGCTCTCCATCTGTGTATCATTAGAGCTCTTATTTACACATCGTCCGAAACTAAAAATTACTGTCATGGATCTGGTCAACTGGACTTTCAAGGCAATCGATAAAATCTTTTCAACAAAGCGACAGGGTCCTGGAGAGCCCTCATGCCCCACTGAGACGTAGGCGGCAGGATACGTCATGGATCCGTGGGGAGTTTGGGAGCTGATGTGTCTTTCCGTGTTGTCTCAGGAGGACGCCGAAGATGTTTATATAATTGGAATCATGATAGCAGGGTTTCTGCTTTTTGGCATCGGTGGATTCCTATGTTATCGGCTATTAAAGAAGACGACGGCAGCAGTTTCGGTCATGGCAAAGCTGCTGAGTCTGTGTAAAGGTTTGGTTCATGCTTCGAGCACTCAATATCAGCCAATTTACAAGCTAAACCGTAAGATATTTGTGAGAATCGCAGGCCACTTGCGGCTTCTGGGACTTGCCAGCATGTTGGAGATGACCTAAGCACAGACCAGTGGAATGCCCACAAATCTGGCCATTTTGGACCAAAATTACCAGCAGGACTCAAGGTTGATGAGAAATAACAGGCTGCCTGAAAAAAAAAAAATCAACAATTGTGGCTTATCTGACTCTGACTCCCCCATTTGGCCTTGAAGCAAGCCGACTTATCAAATTTCTCTTGAGATATGTGTAAACTAAGGTAAAGCTCTGTCTATAACAACCCCCTTCCCCTTGCCCCCAGAAAATCTGTGAATGCTTAGCAGAGCTGTACCGGCTGACACCAACATCTTATCAGGACTATGGACCATCTCGAAGTGCTTCATGGACAAATCTCACCGTCTTGCCGTCAAATGCATGAAATATGTAATGTGTCTATAAATGTGCTTGCTTGTAGCATTTTTTTTTGGCGTCTTAAATCGTGTCCTGATAAGGACAAGGTGTGAATACACCTTTTTGTAATACCACTATCCTATCCTCATGGCCTTTTCCCCTTTTCTATCTAAAAAGGATAAGGGGTCGTGCTCTCAGGAGCAGCAGCAACGTGCACTCCGCCCATCTTTTGGACGACTGTACGAACCTAATTTCACTGTATTTCGGTGCAATGATAATAAAGCTTATTCTGATTCTATTAGGAGTGGACAGCTTAGAAAGTACTGACCCTGTTTAGAAGTACTCAGACGCTGTTAAATAAATAAAAACAGACTATTTTCACACGCAGCCTTGGTGACATTAACAGAAGAGTAACAAACACAACAGTTGTGATCACAGTCTGTATCTCAGTATTAGGAGCTGTGAGTTTGCACAAGAAAATATGTGCTTTGTTTCAAATAATCTGGCCTCGTGGCAGCGCGTCCTTAAAATTTGTGTTTTTAAAAGACTACATTTAAATAACTTTTTTAGCTTTATGTAATGAGAGTAAAAAAATGCACCTATTGCACAATTTATGATGAGAAATCATATGTACTTTCAAGATTAAAAATGTTTTTTTCCTTTTTATTTTACTTTTTCTCTGCATAAGTCCTGCTGGGTTTCCTACAGTACACTACATCCAGTACACTACATCACCACAGTTCAGAGATTTGGCTGCATTTAATAACCAAAAGAGCTCAAATATCAGCATTTAGAGTTAGTGTAAAATCAGGGCATAAAACATCACAAGTGAAAAGGTTTATAAGCTTTTATGAAGTTTCTTCCTGTGAATGTTTATCTGTAGGTTAAAGTTTGGCTTCTTATTTATCATTTGGGAATATAAAAATACCATCTAATCTGTATTTTATCTGGTTTAGAAGATGTTAAACTTCAGCTAATTATCACAAAACAAACAAAAGTCATTTACTGGATTGTGATTTCTTCCAAACCTTATGATTCGCTGTAAATTCAAACAATAAACAGAAGTGGGTTTATGTCATTAAAACAACTACAACAAATAGATTTACTCACCCGTCCAGGATGGACTCCCTGCAGCAGTAAAGGTTGTCAAACTTCTGCTTCGTCACAGAGTCGTTCACGTTCATAGCTGGAACACACAGTTTCCCTGCTTTAGAAAGCTGATACAACCTGGGAAAGAAATAAATATGAACATGTTTGTCTCTATGTATGTTCAAAGAGCTCATATAAGAATGAATACCTGTGAACCCCTGTAACGCTCTCCTCTACAATCCCCCTGATCTTCTTAAAGACGTTTGGGTATTTTTTGTACACCCAGTGTGTCAGATCTCCTCCATCATCAAGGACCTAATGAAACAAAAACAAAAAAAGTTTTTACTACTGCCATGGATGTTCATGGCAATTTTCCATGTTTCTTCTCAGTAGACAAAACATATATTGTTATATGAATATTTACCAAGATCTAAACACTGTTTCTTGATACTTTTAGGCAACTTATCGTCTCATTTGTATTTTAAAACCTGACCCTGTACAATGGGAGAAAAAGATGTTTCTACAAACCATGTTCGGCTGCCAACCCTCAGTGTTGACGCAGCGATCGATACACCACCAGAAGTCGTCCTCGGACTCTCCCTTCCAGGCAAACACAGGCACGCCTGAAACATTAGACACTATCCTGAGACATTGGACATGAAATAATCTCATCTTTATGACGTTCACTGCCAAGAAACCTGAGGTTCAAATTCATTGACGTGTTTCTGAATAGAAAACATTACTGACATACAAGTCAAAAAGTAATGCATGCTTCTCTGCAGAAATAATTAGTTCCACTAAACGTGGAAATCACGTTTAGTAGTGCTGGTGCCGTCCTCCATCTTCAAAATGTATTACCCTTCCAGGACCTGCAGCACAGTAAAGCACCACCCCAACATCCAAACCCATCTGTTCTCCAATTGGATTGTCAAATTTGTGATTGACATGACGTTGACCAATCAGCTGAATCATAATTCAAAAGTATGATTTACAAGCACAAAATATATATGGAAGTTGTGCCCATATGAACGGGACAAATGGGACAACAACAAAAAAACCTGCACCATGAAGGACCCCACTCACCCAGCACACACACTTTTTGCCCTGCTCCCCTCAGGAAGGAGGTTGAGGAGCATTAAGTGTAGAACCACTAGACTGAGGAACAGCTTCTACCCTGAGGCTGTTAGACTCATGAATCTCTAATCAGAATCATCACTGTGGAAAAAAATCACATGTTGCTGCTGATCTGTTTCAATGTTGATGTGTTCATGCGTGCTCATCTGCTCACACAGACTCATGTTCATGTTTGTGCTGATGTTTCACCCTGATATGAAGTTTTCTGTGAAATGTGAAGATCTCCAAAATAGATTAAGAAGAATCATCAGGATTTTTTTTTTCCTTCATTTACCCTTTATTTATCCAGGTAGTCTCATTTTCAAGAGAGACCTGTTTAGGGAGCAGATGGTGGGGGTTAAGGGCCTTGCTCAGGGGCCCAGAGTGGGGTGAATGAGGGTGGAGGGAGGTGTAGGAGTTTCACCTTTTCCACGCACATTTTGATGTTGATGGTACCAGGAGGTGAACCTGCGACTTTCCGATCACAAGCCCATCTTCTAACCTCTGCGCCACCACTACCCCTAGATTTTCCAGATTGCAGAAGGAAGTGAAGGAGAAAATCTAATTGGATTTATAAAAGAGTTGCTTCAAGAGACACTGAAACTACCACCAGATATGGAAATCACGACTGAGAGGGGACATCGCTCTCTTAAACCCAAACACAAGGATCCAAAAATTCCCCCCAGATCACTCAGCGAGATTCCTCGATGCAGCGATAAAAGATGAAATCATACGACGAGCATGGCGTCAGGAACAAGTCTTCAAAGATATTTTTTGACCAAGACTACCGTACGAAAGAAAAGAGCAAAGGTCTACGGAGCTAACAGCTAAAGAAAAGAGACATGCAAGCAGCATGTTTGTATCCAGCACAAATAAAAATAAAGCTGAACACCAGGGAGAAAACCTTCACAACACTGATCAGTGCTGCACCGCTGCTGAAGGATCTGGGAGTGGAAGCTGTGAAGAACGAGAGCACATGGAGGAGGAGCTGATGGAAGGCTGGAGGAGCAGCATGGACAGACAGAGGGACAGCACTGTCAACGCTAGATCTGAAGGCCCTTCTGCAAGGAGAACCCTGATCCTACAGCACATATCAAGGTAGCTTCAAATAAGATAGACTGAACTAACAACCAGAAGGCAACGTCAACTCTATTCGAACAACAAGGAATGCAACAATCTCAGTACAATACACAATAAAATAACTGATGATGGTTGGTTGTCACAAATTTACACAAGTATTTCATAAAAACTAAAGCAGATGAGACGTTTTGAGTCAATTTTCCTCATGTTGCCAGATCTCCAAAGGTTTACGGCGGAGATTTAGCACACACATGGCAACCAGAGATAAAAAAAGGTTCGACTGGCATGCCTGTACCATCGAACGGAAATATGTGTGCGCTCCGGTTATCTCTGCAGGGAGAAATATGAAAGAGCTCAACGTTTCCAAACAGTAACCTTGAAAGTTTTAAAAGATATGCACAAAGCTGACTTCTGTTCATTTCATCACTTTACACGATCTGTTCTGAAGAAAACATTTGTAGTATAAAATAAGTGTGGGGAAGTTTTTTGACTTCATTATTTGTTTTTTAATGTCAACGCTGATTTAATTGTGGATAATCAAGATTTTTTCCATCCTCTCTGCTGCTCACCTCTCTCTGCCAGGGCAGCAGCAACTTCATTCTGCGTTGAGTAAATGTTACATGCAGTCCAACGACACTGAGCGCCGAGAGCCGCCAGAGTCTCGATTAACACCTGAGAAAAGCCACGGAAACAGGAAGTCAACAAGAACGCCACGTACATGTGAAAGAGGATGAGTCAGCTGTCCAAGGTTTCCTCCTGAAGACGAGTCATATTTGTGTGATGCTGACATTCCTGGACAGGTCACTGATTTTTAATCTCAACAGGATCTTCCTGGTTGAATTTAAGGTTTAAAGAAAAAAAGATACATGATTTTTAGCTGCAAGTTCTTTAACATACCTTCAGCTATTTTAACCAATCATAAATCAGAATGTTCGGCTCGTTCAGGACAAAACTACTGTGACTTTTGTTTTTTGTAACTTTTTACACTTTGAAATGTTTATCCTGATTCACTTCTTTAGGGAGTGGTGAGGCAGAGGTCAGAGAAGGTGGGACTGGATGGGAAGATTGCCGGTTCAACTCCCGGTACCGACAACATCAAAATGTGGGTGGGATTGGTGTAGCACCCACACCTGCCTCCACCCTCATTTGTCCCACTCTGGGCCCTTGAGCAAGGCTCTTAATCCTCACCATCTGCTCCTCCGGGCGCCCTAGATGGCAGCTCTCTGCTCCACACAGAGGGCTGTGGTTGTGTCAGGAAGGGCATCCGGTGTAAAAATAATTGCCAAGTCTTCGTACGGCTTAGCTTGCTGCAGTGACCCCTGAAGAAGGGAGCAGCCGAAAGAGGGTAATAAAAAATAAAAAAACCTTATTCACTTTTTTCTCATTACAAAAGAAAACAAATCCTTGAACAAAAACAACTTAGTCCTTTTAGAATTTTATTTCAACCTAGTTTTATTTTAGCTTTTAGCTACTGACTTGCTCAGTTTAAGTTTTAGCTGCTGTTTTGAAGATTTTAGCCACAGTTTTGTTGATTTTAGCTTTTAGCCACTGTTTAGATAGTTTTAGCTTTAAGCCACATGTTTGCTGGTTTTAGGTTTTAGCCACTGTTTTGCTGGTTTGAGCCACCGTTTTGTAGATTTTAGCTTTAAGCCACTGTTTTGTTGAATTTAGCTTTTAGCCACTGTTTTGCTCATTTTAGCCACTGTTTTATTGATTTTAGCTTTTAGCCACTATGTTGCTGGCTTTAGCTTTTAGCCACTGTTTTGCTGGTTTTAGACTTTAGTCACTGTTGTGTGGTCTTAGCTTTTAGCTGTTGTTTTTTCTGATTTTAGTTTTTAGCTACTGCTTTGCTAATTTTACCCTTTAACTTGTACTAATTTAAGTTTTTGTTTAGCTGATTTTTGCTTTTTTCTGATTTCCTCAGCTTTTTGAGCACACGCCAGTGAAGCGATTCAGCTCTCAGCTGCTTCATCTGGTTAAGACTCATCTTTTCTCCGTTCAAGATACGCTGCAGCCATTGGCTGTAAATTAATGTAAAAAGATAAACAAATCTTACCGCAGTCTGAGCAGTTATGTGAGTGCAGCCAACAATTTTGGCACCCGCCAACGGTTTCTCAGTCTGCGCTCTCTTCCTGAGTGAAATCAGCGCCGACATGTCTGAACAGAACAGGAAAACATGAGTGGGAGAGACGGCAGTGCAGATCAAACTGGAAGGCTCATAGCATCGAAAAGAAAGGCAAACACTTTTACACAGAAAGTATGGCTGAATAAAAGCGCTGCTCTTTTGTAGCCTTTAGAAACCTGTGCATGGTTTATAAATCTGTTATTACAGTGTAACACATAAGAAGGAACTGATTAAAAACAATTTTTTTAAGCAAATCGTCCAGTTAAAAATGTTCAGTTGAGCTTTGTTCCTTCTGTTTTTACCTTGTTCTGCGATCTCGATCTCACGTCTGCCAAATTCAGCCTGTTTGATGTTTTTGACGCAGAAGTCGCTGCTGCCCTTGGAGTTGACCTGGGCTTTGTCCCGCGGCGAGCTCTCGTCATCCGAGCTATCTGTATAAGACGCGGCTGTAATCAAATTGTGAATTCACTCTATCAGTTCAAACTTGAACCGTCTCCCCTCACACACTCAACATTCACTCCACAGTGTTGAAAAGCTGAGCGCTGCGGACAGAGTGGACCCTCGTACCGGAGCTGTAGCTGTCGGTGGAGGACTGGGAGATGGAGCGGGACAGAGAACGACGGCCCATCTTGGTGGGAAACCTGCTGAACTCCTGCTTTTCCTCCACAAACTGGATTTGCTGGAACGAGATCAAAGATCTGCGGTTTAAAATGAAGACGTTTCAAACTGAACAATCAAATTTTTTAAGATACTGAGACTCTTGAAGCGTTGGTACAGTTTTATTACATTTACCAGTAGTAAAATGAGTTGCTGAACCCGTTTGGTCAAACAATATTTCTATTCACACTCGACTTTTTTAAATTCTGCTCCAAACTTGGTTTGAAGAATCACACAGCTGTCAAACCTGAAATTACTTTAAGTCACAAATTATTTAGCCTCATTTCAAACCTCAGCTGCTCCAAGCTTTCATAAATTTATTGTGTGAACGTTTATGAAGTATTCACACTATTGTGATCCATTTTTTTCTCCGTACATTTTTTGGCGTGTTTCTCGTCCCGCAGTTTTGTGCTATTTCAACAAATCATATATCAAAACATTCAGCTCGTTCAGGACCATCCTATAACTTTTGGTTGTGGTGCAACTTTACCTTTTGGAAAAATTTAGCCTTTTCTGCCATTTGTTTTCTCATAGAAAATTAATTGAGCTCATTTTACATCCTTCACATCTTTAGATCTGTTTACAACCTTATACTGCCACTTTCACATTTTTTTCTGGTTCAGCTTCTTTCAGCTTCCTTGTGCAAAATTAACTTTTTTCCAGCTTCTTTCAGCTAATTTCAGCTGTTTTGTGCTCCTTTCAGAGTCTTTCTGCTAGCTACAACATTTTTGTGCTTCTTCTAACTTCTGCTAATTTCAGCTTGTCATGACAAATTAAAATCAGTTATTAAATTAAAATGAGCAAATAAAAAACAAATTAAAATGAGCTCCTTTCAGCTCATTTCTGCAAGTTTCAACTTTTTCTACTATTTCAGCTACTATAGCTGTTTTCATGCAAATTTAATCTTTTTCAGCTAATTCCACATTTTTTGCACTCATTTAAACTTTTTTCAGCCTTATTCAGCAAAAATGTGTTCACTTCCTTCTAGTGACTTCAGCTTATTTCTGCTTTTTTAACTATTTTTCAGCTGGTTTTTTTTTTTTTGTTGCTAATTTTAGCTTTTTTCTGATAATTTTTACTTTTTTGTCCTAATTTCTGCTTCTTCAGCCTAACTGGGCAAAACTGTCCTCTCTTCACTTTCTTCTGCTAATTTAAACTTGTTCTACCTTTTCAGCTACCTTTTTAGAAAATGTTTAGCTAATTTCAGCTGTTTTCAGATAAATTCAAGTTTTTCTTGGTAATTTCTTCTACTTTCAGCCTAATTAACTTATTTCTGCTAAGTTCAGCTTATTATGCTCCTTTCAGCTTTTTTCAGCTAGTTTCAGCTTTTTCAGCTACTATTTGCCAGTAGCTATTTTATGCCAAGTTTAGCTTTTTCAGCTCATTTCAGCTCTTTTCCACTTCCTTCTTATAGGTTAAGATTCATTCTGCCTTTTGGCTACTTTTTATATGTTTTTTGCTAATTTTAGCTTTTTTAGCTGGTTTCCTAATTTTTGTGCTCATTTCTGCTCATTTAAACCCAATTCAGCAAATAAGTGTTGTTTCTTCTGCTAATTTAGGAATGTTCTCTTATTTCAGTGACATTTCAGCATGTTGCTTTAGCTAATTTAATCTGTTTTTCAGCAAGTTCGTCAGCAATAAGCATTAACACTGCATTTTTGTAGGAAATGTAATTTCTCTAGTTTTAAATGTTTCTTTAGTAGGACAGAGATTTTAATGTTTGTTTTGTTTTTTTGTTTGCTTATTTAACTTTACGCATATTTAGCTCCTTATCACAACTGTGATTTATTTTGTGATGGCATACTTTCTGAAGTAATGAGAGAGTGCAGAAAGCCGTTCTACTCAAGTGCAAATACAATATATCTAGATGGGTTTAAATGGTGTTTTTTTTTACTTTATGCCAGAAAAATGCTAAAATAAAATCTAAATTTAAACCTATCAGACAGTAAATCTATTGGATTAACCTATATAATTCCCATCGCTGTCTCATTTTCTAATAAAAATCATGTTCTGCATTTTAATTCAATCAGCTGCTCATGAACTCTTCACACTCCAGGTAAATAACGAAGAACAACATGAAGCTGTTTGTGTACAAATAAAGAGAACAGACGTCACAGTTTAGGTCAGAATAGTGCGAGTTTAGCCTGTCTAACAGTTTCAGGCAAACTTTGCACTGACTGACACATTGATGAGCAGACGTGTTTCAAATGTAAATAAATTCATATCTTAAGAGATTTCTAAGAAAAATGAAAATGATGGAAAACATATTTTGTGTGGCAATACCATAATTTTAACGTTACTTTGATTTTTCTAAGCTCGTCAAAAATTATCGAGTTTGACAATATAGTTATTGCAGCTCCATTCCCTGAAATAAATAAATATTCTGTATTTTTCTTTTATATAAACGGCTTTATAGTTTCTGAAGTGACATCAACATGAATTTCAGCCCAACATTTAAAAAGAGAAATCCTCAAGCTTCACAACGATGCTAAACATTATATGAAGGGATTTACTGGCACGATGTCAGTCGTCAGAGAAAAATAGTGAATTTCAAAGGAAATTATAGGATTTATATTTGAAAGGATAATTTACGAAGACATACCAGTTAGAAACGTTTAATTTAAAGATAGATTAAGAAGATTATTTGCTGTTTTAGTTACTAGGATCACTAGATGGTGACTTTATGGACTCATTTTTAGCAAATCTCAATTACAACAAAGGTCAATATCTGTCATTCTGACTCATTTGGTAGCACGACTTATGTTGACAGCTTGCATCTTAACCCAAAATATTGGTATTTAAAAACTAAATAAACATTAAGCCTGTAAAAAATGTAAAGTTATGATGACTGTTTCTGTGTCATCTGATGAGACTTTACTTCCATGAAAAGGTACCGGTACTTAAACAATCTAGAAAGCAGGAAAAACTCCCTAAGGAATAAAAACTGCAAGGTTATAATTTATGCTGAATCAACATATTGGTTTCAAATAAGATTTGCATGTTTGAATCAGACAGGTCAAATAACAAATAAGATATGTTAACTACGATCTCAGCTGTATTTTATCAGTTGTTTTTCTGATTTTTAAAAAAATGTTTAAAGTTTCGCAATACTTCTGTTTCACACTACTTGGCCAAACTAGTCACAGCTGCAGGGAAAATAAATAAATAAATAGAGAATGAGGATGTGAAACAAAGGAAATAAAATCAGACTGACTAATAATCTCGTGCCGAGTAAAGACAGCGTTTCTTTTGACAGTTCTAGTGTTTGCATTTTTTTTTTCCAAGAGTGTGTATTGAGTCTTGTTCATTTTAGTGTAGCTGCAACGAATCATGCAAATATTTGACATGTTAAACCCTCAAAAATCCTGTTTTTAAGTGTCATGTAACATCTGCCTTTTTATATTTTACAGCAATGCCTGTGATTTATAAAACTGTAAAAGATCAACTTTTAGGGTTTAATTTAAAGGGTGCACATTCAGCTGTTATTCCTCCTGTCTGTCTGATATATAAAGAGGGTTTCAACAGAATTGATTGAACTAGTAACTAATAAAAAGTACATCTGAGCCCAGGGATGATAGCCATGATGAAACAGTAAGGTCTAATGTCCTCTGTGGGCCCACCCAGCTGACACCTGGTGCAGTTTTACCTTTTTAACAGGTTTGTGAGTGGGCACAGCGCTGAACACCGACGACAGCTCTCCCATGTTCATGTCGCTGTTTTTGCTCACGGTCATGGCTGAGTATTTCTCCGCCACGTTCTCGCTCTCCTTCACCTCCTTGCTCGCCTGCTTCACCTCCAGCTTGGCTTCCCCGGCCGGGTCGGACATGTTCGCGGCAGCTGCGTGACCTCACCTGGACAGAAAACACCGCAGCCGTTGAGCTAAAGCTAGCTACAGAGAACAGGAAGAGAGATGGACGGGGGTCTTTTAAGGACAGCGCGCACGTAAAATATCGCTGATGAACGCGGCGAGTAAATGATAATCAGTACCCGACTGTGATTTGGAGCTGACAAATTGTTTTTGCGTCCTTTGTTTGTTTGGTTTTGAGGGTTGGAGTCGTGCTGTTTCTGCTGGCTGGCTGTCAGTTGTCACCCACCAGACTGAGTAAGTTTGTGGGCGGGTACCAACAGGATGTCTGGGGCGTGTCTTGTTCTGAGCTGCATTCACTGTACCTCGGAAAATATGTTTATCGTTTGGATACGTTCAGTTGACTTAATATACGGTTTTAATTTCATAATTTGACGTGCCAATTGTCTTTACTGTATACCAGCACTAGTATCTTCAAACCCATCTGTGCTGAATACAGAAAAGCAGATAACTGTCCTAGTTATTTTTTCCCCGATTCACAAACATTTCCCCATTCCACATAATAAAGGAGTACTGCACGTTAAAGTGTCCACATTGTACTGCTTTACATACCGTGTTTTTTTTCCAATTCAACCTTTAATTATACAGGCTAGTCTCACTGAGCCACGAGAATTCATTTACAAGAGGGACCTGTTCCAGACAGAACATATAAGTACATATAACAGTAATAACAATAAACTACAGTTAAAATGCAGTTCAAATAAACGTAGTGTTGTAAAACAATAAATCAGGGTGCTGTAAAACAAGATAAAATACTAAAATCAAGAACATATTTGCTTTGATGTTTCTATTGACCTTATCAAAGGTTTAAAATCCCTTAAAGAAATGAAGGTGGACAGCTTCAGTTCCTGTTGCAAGGTGTTCCAGGTTGCTGGAGCAGAGTAGGAAAAGGCCTTTTTGCCAAGTTCAGTTCGCAGTGAGGGAACGTTGCAGGTAATGATGGCCTGAGAGCGCACGCTGTAACTGCACTGACGACGTGACAAGTGAGCGGAAACTCTGGCAGCTTTTTCACCAAACAATATTATTTATATGTATTTATTTACATTTATCTACCCAGGCATAGCCCACTAAGATCCCAGATATATTTTGTAATGAGACCTGGGCCAGAAGCAGCCTCCCATGCAATAATGAGTCAACTCTTTCTTTGACACTCCTCTACCTGTGTTCTGTATTTGCTCATACAAGTTGGCACCAAGTCAGACACAGCCTTTCCATATGGGCAGGGGAAAAAAGCCACACAATGTAGTTCTTCATGGCGAAGGAGCTGTTGAATCTCAGTGGTTAAGTCCTGTAGCCTTATAATCCTCCGGTGTAAAACAATTGCCAAATCTTTAATGCAAATTTGCTATAGCTGTGGCAACCCCTGCAGAAGAGAGCAGCTGAAATAACATCCTAAACTTGGTCTGACATTGGAGTAAGCTGTTTGGGGGGAGAATCAGTTTTGTATTGTGTGTTTCCTTGACTGATGAAGCCTTCCGGATGGAAGGTGAAACGTTTCAGCAAAAAAAGAAACTGTCCAGATGACTTGACTGAAAAATGTTAGATTGTATACCTGGATTATTGAGCATGGACTTTTTTTGTTTGTTTGTTTGTTTTTGATCCTAAACTTGGTTTGCTGTGTGTGGTCTTGATCTGAGTGCTTTTCAAACAACTTGACTATAATTAATGGAATTTGAAATTGTTTTTTTTTCCTTTGAGAATCATTCCTTGTCTTGTACTTATTTGTGGTTTTGGGGCAGGACAGCTCATTGCCAGCATTCAACAATGAATTTAATGTGCAGGTAGTGATTGGAACAGCAGGCAAATAGTCTCTGTGGGGCAGTATTTAGCTACATGAACACATGCTGCTGGCTTTAGGATTCAAGGTTCTTTATTTGTGGTACATGTGGTGGAACAAAATTGTGTACACAGGGTCCCAGTTACATCCAACAAAAGTATAAAATGTAAAAGAAAAACAGCAATAAGATCTAAGATATGAACTAAAAAAAAACATTAACTAAAAATACAGCACTAATAGTACAAAAACAATATGCCGAACAGCAGCACGAACATGAGTCTGTGTGAGCAGATGAGGACGAATGAACACTGCAGCACCAAACAAATCAACAGCATCATGATGTCCAATATTTTTCAGTCGGGTCATCTGGACAGTTTCTTTTTTTTTTTTTTCCAGATGACCTGACTGAAAAATGTTGGATTTTATACTTGGGTTATTGAACATGGACTTTCTAGCATCATGATGTGATTTTTTTTTCACAGTGATTTAGAGATTCATGAGTCTAACAGCCTCAAGAAGCTGTTCCTCAGTCTATTGGTTCTACACTTAATGCTCCTCAGCCTTCTGCCTGAGGGGAGCGGGGCAAAAAGTGTGTGTGCTGGGTGAGTGGGGTCCTTCATGATGCAGGTGGCCCTCTTCCTGCATCTGGAGGCGTAGATGTCTGTGATGGTGGGGAGACTGACTCCAACAGTCTTCTGTGCAGCCTTCACCACTCTCTGCAAAGCTTTTCTTTCTGCAGCTGTGCAGCCTCCATGCCACATGTTGATGCTGGAGCACAGGATGCTCTCCACTGCACACCTGTAGAAGGAGGTGAGGACTGAGCTTCCCAGAGCAGCTCGTCTCAGCCGCCTGAGGAAGTAGAGTCTCTGATGAGGCTTTCTTGATCAGGCTGGCAGTGTTAGGCCTCACGTTATCCCTTTTCATGCAGAAATAACGTGCAGCAAAACTTATTGTGTCCAACAACTGAGATTTTTGGTTTAAAAATCCATTTTATGAGACTAAAACTAGAAGATAATTATCAGTCAGCAGCTTGGAGCAGACAGAGCTGACATGAAATGAACACAGAAAATTAAAGACAAAGGAGAGATACACAACAAGACATTTTCTCTGAGGAGATAGGCCTATTTTCCTGTCTACATTTACTGTGTATCACCCACAGGTGAATCTTAACTGATTATGTGGCTTCTGGATGTAATAGTTGGGGCTTTAAAGCAAAGAGATCAATATGGTGTTAAAAATCTGAGGAAAAGTCTGTGAATGACTGAGTCGGTGATATCAGAATCGCAACTTGGCAGGAGTTCATTGTAGAGGCATTTTTCTTACAATTTTACATCCTGTGCCAAAAAGAATGTGTCCGCAGGCCGGATATGGCCATGAGCCACCAGTTGATAATCACTCACTGATAATTCATCTTATCTTCAAACTTTTTTTCTAGCCGTACAGTTTTCTATAGATGCTGTGTGATTTGTGTAAAAATCTAAGATCTCTTTCATGTATCGTGACAATAATCCTCCTGACATATCATGTTTTTATTGTGTGTACTCAAAACATGCAGTATGCTATTAATGGACCGGAAATGTTGTAGATAAGATTCTTGCCTTATTCTCTCTCTTATTCTCTCCTTTTTCTCTTATCTCTACCGGAAGGACCAAAATCTTTTTTCCAATGTATTGTGCAAACCGCTGATAATAATAAAAAAAAAATGTAGCAAAAATAAACCCAAAAATAAAGTAAAAAAAAAGCAATTATTTAACTTTATTTAAAGGTGTCTGTCTAAAATCCTTTATGGTTGTCTAAAAAAGTTAAGTCTGGTCCTCTGGACAGTCAAAAAACAAAACAAAACAAAAAATGTAGAAATGTTTCGTCTTTCATCCGAAAGACTTCCTCAGTCTGAGGTGCTGTATTCATCTCAGTCTCTTAAATAGCACCTTCTCAGAGTGGATCAACCAGTTTGCTGCTGACAACCAAAACCAGCTGATCACATGCTCAAGAAGGACCATCAGCCTAACAATGGATCATTAGCACACTGATGGCTGTTTACTATTCACAGGGGGTTGAGTGATACTAGCAATCACAGCATTGTAAGAGGGGGACAGTTGAACCCGGAGGCCTCCACCCCTGTTTAATGATGGACAGTTTATTTTCACAAAGATGGCCTCCTTCACTCCTCTCTCAAACCATCGTTCCTCTCTGTCCAGGATGTGAACATCTTCATCCCTGAAAGAGTGACCGCTGGCCTGGAGATGAGTGTAGACCACAGAGTCCTGGCCTGATGATGTTGATCTTCTGTGCTGGGCCATCCTTTTGGCCAGTGGCTGTTTAGTTTCCCTGATGTAGGACTGGTCACCCTCCTGACACTGAACAGCATACACAACATTACTCTGTTTGTGCTGGGGGACTGGATCTTTGGGATGAACCAGTTTTGTCGTAATGTATATTGCGGTTTAAAAGCCACTGGGACGTTGTGTTTAGAAAATAAACGTCTCAGTTTCTCTGATACTCCCTCAACATACTGAATGACCACTGGTCTGGGTTCCTCCTTTTCACCTGATGGCTGACTGGAGTCCTGTTTGAGTTTCTTCTCTGCTTTCAGGAAGGCACAGTTAGGATATCCACATTGCTCTAGAGCCTGTCTTGTGTGGGATTTCTCCTTCTGCCTGGCTCCTGAGTTAGTGGGGACGCTGTCTGCTCTGTGATACAGAGTCCTGATGACTCCTAACTTGTGCTCTAAAGGGTGATGGACGTCAAACTGCAAATACTGGTCTGTGTGGTTGGGTTTGCGGTTCACCCCAGTTTGCAAATGTCCTCTATCAGAGACTGAGACCTCACAGTCCAAGAAAGCCAACCTGCCATTTTTTACATCTTCTCGTGTGAACTTGATGTATTTATCCACATTTGATGTGATCAGTAAAATGTTGGACTTCCTGAGATTTAATTTTAACCCAGGTGTCGTCAACATACCTGAACCTATGACTTGGTGGTGTCCCTGAAAAGGACGTCAAGGCTCTCTTTTCTACTTTCTACCTCCTCCATGTACAGGTTGGCAGCAGAAGAAACTGGAGACCCCATAGCACACCCATGTTTCTGCCTATAATATTGGCCCCCATACAGTGCCTTGCAAAAGTATTCGGCCCCCTTGAACTTTTCAAACTTTTGCCATATTTAAGGCTTCAAACATAAAGATATAAAATTTTAATTTTTGTGAAGAATCAACAAGTGGGACACAATCGTGAAGTGGAATGAAATTTATTGGATGTGTCAAACTTTTTTAACAAATAAAAAACTGAAAAGTGGGGCGTGCAAGATTATTCGGCCCCTTTACTTTCAGTGCAGCAAACTCACTCCAGAAGTTCAGTGAGGATCTATGAATGATCCAATGTTGTCCCAAATGACTGATGATGATAAATAGAATCCACCTGTGTGTAATCAAGTCTCCGTATAAATGCACCTGCTCTGTGATAGTCTCAGGGTTCTGTTCAAACCGCAGAGAGCATCATGAAGACCAAGGAACACATCAGGCAGGTCCAAGATCCTGTTGTGGAGAAGTTTAAAGCTGGATTTGGATACAAAAAGATTTCCCAAGCTTTAAACATTCCAAGGAGCACTGTGCAAGCAATCATATTGAAATGGACGGAGTATCAGACCACTGCAAATCTACCAAGACCCGGCCGTCCCTCTAAACTTTCATCTCGAACAAGGAGAAGACTGATCAGAGATGCACCCAAGAGGCCCATGATCACTCTGGATAAACTGCAGAGATCTAGAGCTGAGGTGGGAGAGTCTGTCCATAGGACAACAATCAGTCGTACACTGCACAAATCTGGCCTTTATGGAAGAGTGGCAAGAAGAAAGCCATTTCTCAAAGATATCCATAAAAAGTGTTGTTTAAAGTTTGACACAAGCACCTGGGAGACACCAAACATGTGGAAGAAGGTGCTCTGGTCAGATGAAACCAAAATCAAACTGTTTGGCCACAATGCAAAACGATATGTTTGACGTAAAAGCAACACAGCTCATCACCCTGAACACACCATCCCCACTGTCAAACATGGTGGTGGCAGCATCATGGTTTGGGCCTGCTTTTTGTCAGCAGGGACAGGGAAGATGGTCAGAATTGATGGGAAGACAGATGGGGCCAAATACAGGACCATTCTGGAAGAAAACCTGTTTGAGTCTGCAAGAGACCTGAGACTGGGACGGAGATTTATCTTCCAACAAGACAATGATCCAAAACATAAAGCCAAGTCTACAATAGAATGGTTCACAAATAAACATATTCAGGTGTTGGAATGGCCAAGTCAAAGTCCAGACCTGAATCCAATCGAGAATCTGTGGAAAGAGCTGAAGACTGCTGTTCACAAACGCTCTCCATCCAACCTCACTGAGCTCCAGCTGTTTTGCAGGAAGAATGGGCAAGAATTTCAATCTCCATGTGCAAAACTGATGGAGACATACCCCAAGAGACTTGCAGCTGGAACTGCAGCTGGAACTGCAGCAAAAGGCGACGCTATCAATCAACCTTTATTTATACAGGTAAATCCCATTGAGCCTCGAGACACTTTTCAGTTTTTTATTTGTTAAAAAAGTTTGACATCCAATAAATTTCATTTCACTTCACGATTGCGTCCCACTTGTTGTTGATTCTACACAAAAAATACAATTTTATATCTTTATGTTTGAAGCCAGAAATGTGGCAAAAGATTGAAAAGTTCAAGGGGGCGAATACTTTCGCAAGGCACTGGATGTGAAGTAGGTTGACTGCAGGCACAGTTTCAAGAGTTGACACAGTTGCTCTGTGGAAAGTGGTCCTGCTGCTCAGAGTAGTGCCCCCTGTGAATAGCAAGCAACCATCAGGGTGCTAACAATCCATCGTTAGGCTGATGGTCCTCCTTGATCATGTAAACAGCTGGTTTTGGTTGTCAGCAGCAAACTGGTTGATCCACTATGAGAAGGTGCTATTTATAAGACTGAGCTGAATACAGCTCCTCAGACTGAAGAAGTCTTTCGGATGAAACTACAATTTTTTTTGTTTTGGTTTTTTGAATGGACCAGACTTAACTTTTTTAAAAGATTTTTCTACCTGGATTATTGAGCATGCATCAGGATACCTTTATAGTTGCGTTAACTTCCTTCTAGTGTTTGTTATGCTGACATTCTTACATGACAGACTTGTAGCACAGCCAGAGACAAAAAAAAAGTTGGAACTACAAAAAGTATTCTGTAATGCTGCCCACTACTTTCACAAAAAGAAGACATTCTCAGTGTTGTCACAATGATTGGCAGTATTAAGGGTGCCAAGTCACACATCATTTCCTTTAAACTATTGTATTGTTATAGTTTCATTCTTCTTTTAAAAAAAAACTTCACCATGTCTTTGTTGAGAAGAGATTAGATCTGCACACAGGCCAGTCTAGTAGGTTTATTTATATCTTGCTCTGCATCAGTGCCTTTCAAAGCAGAATATGTGGTTTTGTTTTATCTTGTTAGAAATGCGCAGACTTTCCCAGGATAAAATGTTCATCATACTGCAGCATCTGTTCTAAGTTCTCATTGCATTCATCTAACTCAATTCAGTTCAATTCATTTTATATAGTGCCAAGTCACAACAGAAGTCATCTCAGGGCACTGTACA